TCTCAAAAGGGGAAAATTGCCCCAAGGACCTGTTTATTCCAGCTCAAATAGGGAAAAATGGCCCAAATGAGCCGTTTTCCCCAACTAACGTTGGGAAAATAAGCAAAATAACCCATTGTTCTTGGTTCACGTGGGGAATATGATCGATTTTTCCTCTCTCAAAGGGGGAAAATGACCCAAATAACCCCTACTTTCTAGCTCAAAGGGGGAAAATGAGCCAAATAACCCCTATTTTCTAGCTCAAATATGGGTTATTTGGGTCATTTTCCTCATTTTTTAGCTTGAATGGGTAAAATCACCCACTTTTCCCATCTCCAAGGTGGAAAACGACCCAAACGAGCCATTTTGCCATGGCCAAAATGAGGAAAAGGACACAAATAACCTGTTTTTCCCTGCAAAAATGGCGGCAAAAAGCCATTTTTCTCAGCTCACATGGAGAAAATGACCCATTTCCCTGCTTTTTGGGTTACAACGGGGGAAAATTATGAAAATGACGGGGGGACAAGGGGGTATTTTTGTGTGCGGTGCCGCAGGTGGAGTCGCCCACGCAGATGGCCGTGGAGCTGGTGGCCGAGTCGCCGGCGGCGCCGGGCGAGTCGCCGCGGCCGCGCTGCGTGCGCTCGGGCTGCGAGAACGCGCCCGTGGCCAGCAGCGACTGGGACAACGAGTACTGCAGCAGCGAGTGCGTCGTCAAGCACTGCCGGTGAGCGCCCGAACGCCCGGGAAGCGCCCCGGAACGCGCTCGGAAACGGCCCCGAACGCCCCGGRACGGCCCCGAACGCCCAGCTTGCCCTAAAACAGCCCCAAACGTCYGGGACGTGCCCCGGAACGCGCTCGGAAACGGCCCCGAACGCCCCGGAACGGCCCCGAACGCCCAGCTTGCCCTAAAACAGCCCCAAACGTCYGGGACGTGCCCCGGAACGCGCTCGGAAACGGCCCCGAACGCCCCGGAACGGCCCCGAACGCCCAGCTTGCCCTAAAACAGCCCCAAACGTCYGGGACGTGCCCCGGAACGCGCTCGGAAACGGCCCCGAACGCCCCGGAACGGCCCCGAACGCCCAGCTTGCCCTAAAACAGCCCCAAACGTCCGGGACGTGCCCCGGAACGCGCTCGGAAACGGCCCCGACCCCCGCGAATTGCCCTGAAACACATTCAGAAACGGCCCTGAATGCCCAGATTGCCCTAAAAGAGCCCCAAATGCCCAGGGATTGCCCCGAAATGAGCTCGGAAACGACCCCAAACGCCCCGAAATGCGCTCGGAAATGGCCCCGAACGCCCAGATTGCCCCCAAAACAGCCCCAAATGCCCGGGAATTGCCCTGAAATGCGCTTGGAAACAGCCCCGAACGCCCAGATTGCCCCAAACCAGCCCCAAATGCCCGGGAATTGCCCCGAATGCGCTTGGAAACAGCCCCAAATGCCCCGAAACACGCTCGGAAATGGCCCCAAACGCCCAGATTGTCCTAAAACTGCCCCACCACCCCCAAATTGCCCCAAAGCTGCTCCAGAACAGTCCCAAATACCCATGAACCAGCCCAAGACGCGCTCCCAAGCAGCCTCTAATGCCCAGATTGCCCCCAAATCGCTCCCAAAACACCCCAAAACGGTCTCTCAACCCCAACCCCCATTTCGGGGCAAATCGATGCTGGAATTGCCCGAAACGCCCCAAAACGTGCTCCGAAACAGCCCCAAGTCCTTGTCGCCCTCACAACCCCAAAACCTCCCCCATTTCCTCCCTGAAAACCCCCAAATTCCCTCAAATACACCCAAATGCCCCCGCCTCCCTCCCGGCCCTTCCCCCCCCTTGCTGCATTTTGACCTTTTTCCCCTTTTTTGCCCCCAACAGCGACGTCTTCCTCGCCTGGTTGGCCTCGCGCACCTCCAGCAACAGCGTCGTCTTCGTGAAATAGCCCCGCGCGAACTCGCCGCCCCCTTTTCCTGCCCGTTTCCCCCCAAAACGAGGGCGGCGGCGGGGAAAAAACAGAGCTGCCGGCGTCGCATTTTTCCTTTTTTTTTTGCCTTTTTTGTCCTTAAAAAGCAGCCCCGCCCCGGCCCCGCTACATGGTTTTGGGCTTGGAGATGATGCCGTCGGGGTAGTGCTGCTTGAACTGGGCCACCACGTCGGGGTCCAGGAGGTGGATGCCATCCAGCTGGTTCCCCAGCGTGATCCTGGGGGCAAAAACGGGCGGTTAGGGGGCAGGAGGGGTTTTGGGGTGAAAGCGCGGGGTTTTGGGGGCGCTCACCAGTTGGGTTGCACGTTGTGGGGGCGCCCGAAGAGCTCGATTTTCCGGGTGCCGGGCGAGAGGCGCTCGATCATCCCGTAGATCTCGTCGGGCTTGTGGCTCGTGGAGCGGACCTGGGGACCGGGGGACGTTTTTTTGGGGGGGATTCGGGGCTTTTTGGGGTGTTCGGGGGCATTTGGGGGACTCACCTCAGCCACGATGACGTCGCAGTCGAGGCCCCGGTTGAAGCCCTGCGGGTTTCCCTTCACCCCGACCTATGGAGGGTAAAACAGCTGAAGATGCCCCCCCCCAGCCCCCAAAACGCCCCAATTGAGCCCAAAAGGGGACCCGAAAGAGGCCCCAAGAGCAGAGAGGCCCCCAAAGCAGCAAAACCGCCCCCTGAAGACCCCAATTTGGCCTCCAATGACCCAAAATTGGCTCTTGGGGAGGCTCAACTAGCCCCCAAGACCCAAAAAGGCTCCACTTGACCTCAAAGTGGCTCCCTGTACCTCAAACTGGCCCCCAAGACCCAACCGTTGGCCCCCAAAGACCCCAAGACCCAACTGTTGGCCCCAGAAGACCCCAAGACACAACTCTTGGCCCCCCAAGACCCTCAAGACCCAACTGTTGGTGCCCAAAGACCCCAAGACCCAACCGTTGGCCCCAAAGACCCCGAAGACCAACTGTTGGCCCCCAAAGACCCCCAAGATCAACTGTTGGCCCTTGAAGACCCAACTGGTGGCCCCTGAAGACCCCCAAGACCCAACCGTTGGCCCCCCAAGACCCAAGAGGAGCCCCACAGCGGCCCCGCACCAGGCAGTGCTCCTTGCCGTGGTTGAGCCAGTGGCCCGTGCGCCCCGTGCGGATGATGCGCTGCAGCTGGTTGGTCTTCACCCAGATGATCTCGTCCACCCGCTCGTACCTGGGCGCCGAGGTGGGAAGAGGAGGCTCCATGATGGAGCCGTCAAGGACCAAGAGGAGGCTCCGCGATGGAGCCGTCAAGGACCAAGAGGAGGCTCCATGATGGAGCCGTCAAGGACCAAGAGGAGGCTCCGTGATGGAGCCGTCAAGGACCAAGAGGAGGCTCCATAATGGAACCGTCAAGGACCAAGAGGAGGCTCCGTGATGGAGGTGTCGACGGGATTTTGGGGGTGCAGAGCCTCCAAACTCACCCCCAGAGGTTGAGGCACTCGCGTCCCAGCTCCATGGCCCTGCAGAGGGGAGAAGATGAGAGCGGGCGGCAGCGGCCGGGGACATCACCACCCTCCCCGCGCCCCCCAAAGCACCATGAAACCTGGTGGGTTTGGGGGCTCGGAGGGCGCCGCTCACCGCCCGGTGACCCAGAGGAAGAGGAAGCCCTCGTCCTGCAGCACGGGGATGTTGAGGCGCCGCATCTCGTCGTCCGTCAGCGTGCCGTAGGGCAGCTCCATGTGGATGTCCCACGGCGGGTCGGCCATGACCACGGCGAACTTGCCCAGGATGCTGACGTCCAGGTAGCGGATGTCGCAGCAGATCCACTGGGGGCATGAGGAGGCGTCAACGTTGCGCGAGGAGACGTCAACGTTGCGCGAGGAGACGTCAACGTCGCGCGAGGAGACGTCAACGTCGCACGAGATGTCACCAACGTTGTGCAAGATGTTGGCAACATTGCATGACATCAACGTTGCACGAGATGCCACCACCGTTGTGCGAGATGCCGCCAACGTTGCACGACATCAACGTTGCACGAGATGCCGCCAACGTTGCGCGAGATGCCGCCAACGTTGCATGACATCAACGTTGCGCGAGATGCCACCAACGTTGCGCGAGATGCCACCAACGTTGCACGAGATGCCGCCAACGTTGTGCGAGATGCCGCCAACGTTGCATGACATCAACGTTGCATGAGATGCCACCAACGTTGTGCAAGATGTCGCCAACGTTGCATGACATCAACGTTGTGCGAGATGCCGCCAACATCGCATGACATCAACGTTGCACGAGGAGACATCAACGTCGCGCCCTTCCCTTGGGCCACCCCGCCGCGTTCCCGCCCGCGCTACCTGCGGCGGGAAGAGGCGGTCGGCGCCGGCGTCGGAGCCCACGGCCTGGGGCAGGGCGAGCTCCTGGGCGGCGCTGTGGTCGCGGGCGCCGGGCGCGGCGGCGTCCGAGCAGGCGTCGATCTCGTAGTGGACGTACTTGCAGGTGTCCATGTGGAAGCAGGTGTTGAGGAAGGAGCAGTCGCCCAGCGACTCGTCCGTGTGCTTGTTGATGATGCGCCTGGCGGGGACAGCGGCCGGAGGAACGGGGGGCCCAAGCGCCCCGAGGAGCCCGCCAAGGGCCTCAAGGAACCCGAGAGCCTTGAGGGACCGGTCAGCGGAGACAAGGGACCAGTCAAGTGCGTCAAGGAACCCGAGAGCCTTGAGGAACCAGTCAAGGGTCTCAAGGGACCAGTCAAGGTGGTTGGAGAACCCAAGAGCCTTGAGAAACCAGTCAAGGGAGACAAGGAACCAGTCAAGGGCATTAAGGGACCCAAGAGCCTTGAGGAACCCATCAAAGATGTCAAGGAACCAGTCAAGGGCATCAAGGAACCAGTCAAGAGAGACAAGGAACCCGAGAGCCTTGAGGAACCAGTCAAGGGAGTCAAGGGATCAGTCAAGGTGGTTGGAGAACCCAAGAGCCTTGAGGAACCAGTCAAGGGAGTCAAGAACCAGACAAGGGGGTTGGGGAACTGGTCAAGGGTGCTGGGGGGACCAAGAGCCCTGAGGAACCAGTCAAGGGACTGGTCAAGGTGGTCAAGAACCCAGTGCACTGGGCAATGGCTCAAGGGTGTTGGGCAACAGGTCAAGGGCCATCAAGGAAGCCAAGCACCAGAACTGGGGCCAAACGGGGTCCGCTTCCTACCGGAAATGGAGCTTGCGGCAGGGCCGCTCGGCGTCGCTCGCCTTCATGCACTCCTCCTTGGTGCCGTAGTCGCAGAACTCCTGCACCTGCGCGCGGCCCCGCGAGCGGAACTTCTCCACGATGGACTGCTCCTTGGCCGTGGTGGTGTTGAGCAGCTCCAGGATCTCCTGGCTCACCTGCGCCAGAGGGAGAGGGAAAATCGGCGACAAACTGCAGCTTTTGGGGTCAGAACCACGAGACGTCGCAGCTTTTGGGGCCCAACATGGGACAAATTGCAGCTTTTGGGGTCAGAACCCCGACACGTCGCAGCTTTTTGGGGCAAAACCTCAACACGTCGCAGCTTTTGGGGCCCAAAAGGTGACAAATTGCAGCTTTTGGGGTCAAAACCACGACACATTGTAGCTTTTTGGGGCCAAAAGGTGCCAAATCGCAGCTTTTTGGGTCAAAACCTCAACGCGTCGCAGCTTTTGGGGCCCAAAAGGCACCAAACCGCAGCTTTTGGAGCCCCAGGGGTGCCACAACGGAGCTTTTCGGGCCCAAAAGGCAACAAATTGCAGCTTTTTAGGTCAAAACCTCAACACATCGCAGCTTTTGGGGCCCAAAATGGGACAAATCGCATCTTTTTGGGTCAAAACCATGACATTGGGTCAAAACCAGTGCAGCTTTTGGGGCCCAAAAGGCGCCAAGCTGCAGCTTTGGGGGCCCAAAAGGCGCCAAATTGAAGCTTTTTGGGTCAAAACCCCAACACGTCGCAGCTTTTGGGGCCCAAAAGGTGACAAATGGCAGCTTATTGGGTTGAAATAGCAAGACATTGCAGCTTTTGGTTCCCAAAAGGCACCAAACTGCAGCTTTTTGGGTCAAAACCCTGACACATTTCAGCTTTTGGGGCCCAAAAGGCGCCAAACTGCAGCTTTTGGAGCCCCAGGGGTGCCACAACGGAGCTTTTTGGGGCCAAAAGGCAACAAATTGCAGCTTTTTGGGTCAAAACCATGACACAGCGCAGCTTTTGGGGCCAAAAAGATGACAAACTGCAGCTTTTTGGGTCAAAACCCCGACACATTTCAGCCTTTGGGGCCCAAAAGGCGCCAAACTGCAGCTTTTGGAGCCCCAGGGGTGCCACAACAGAGCTTTTCAGGCCCAAAAGGCAACAAATTGCAGCTTTTTGGGTCAAAACCCCGGCACATCGCAGCTTTTGGGGCCAAAAAGATGACGAACTGCAGCTTTTTGGGTCCAAACCACGACACTGGATCAAAACCAGTGCAGCTTTTGGAGCCAAAAGGCGCCAAACCGCAGCTGTTTCGGCCCAAAGGGCGCCACGCCGCAGCTCTTTGGGTGCCGCTTGGGCACCTTCTTGCTCTGCTGCTCCTTGGTGGACTGCTGGCTGAGCAGGCTCTCGATCTC